AAGGACTGCGGTCATGAACGGCAGTTGATGAGAGCCGTAGCACCCACCCTACCTATCACTCTCGCTCATCATTCAGGTTTGACGTGGTCGTCTGTATTCGAAGATAAAGACGAGTGTACGACCTACACAACAGATCCTGTTCAAGTACAGTCGTGAAAAGCACTATTGAATATCTCTGCTTTTCGCCTTTTCCCTCTGCTGTTTCCACACTCCATTTTCGTTGCTCTTCGTCTTATCTTCCTTCTTATCAATTCCCCTTCCCGCCTGAATATTCCGTCCTTGTAACAATCTTCACACTTCTATTTGGAAAAGTAGATTGCCATCCCCTTCTCCTGTTCGAGGCAGGCAACTTCCAATGCGATTCGCGCAACAGGGTTTGAACTCCTCACTTGCCTGGTGACAAAGATGTATAGGTGCGTATCACAGGCACCGTTTTCTGATTTGGCCGAAACTCCAGTGGACTGTGAAACAAGGCCATCAGCGTTGTTCTTCCTGCGTGACCTGTAACAATTTCTAACGCTGTAGTTGGAGTTACGACTTTATTACTGCCTTTCGGGGTTGCCCTGGTTCTTTCCTCTCACTTCTCACGATCCTCCTCTCCGCAGACCCAATCCCCCCCCCCCTTCTTCCTCCTCCTTTCTCTTTTTTTCTACTTCTTTGTCGTAGTGGAACAGAGTGACGTCACGACAATCGACCGAAATGCATTGTACAGCACTGATGCGTAAGCATTGAACACAAATGCTGTTTTCAAGTCGTGACACTTGGTGCACTTCAAATTCATGCCAACGGAATTTCAAATAGAGAGAGAGAAAGAAAGGAAAAAATGCGAAGAGGCAGGTTAGGCCTTCAGTCCAAAATAACCAAATAGGACAAAGCCTTCTATTCCCTTCTTGCACCCTTTTCGCCTACTCTCCCCAGCGATCAGGAGGGGTTTTCGGCAGATGGGTGTGTGGGCAGTTCCCGTCTAACCACTGACATGCAGGGAGTTGCGCGTGAAACAGAAGCGGGTGTTTTTTATTTTTTTAATAACTGGAATCAAGGACTTCATTGAATAATAGATCGAGGCCGGGGACCTCACAATTCTACCCGGGAAGCATCATCGAGCTTAGCTTACAGACCAAAGCCTGCAGAATGGACACTGCTGCAGAAAAATTACCTGTTTCCCGGTTTGCGAAAGGTAAGCAATCAACCGAAGCGACATTTCCAACACTAGTGCTACTATCTGCCAGGCTCTCCTAAATTCCGGGACTAGCACGGCCCAGAGGACTAGGTCCGGGTGCTACTGACACTCTCGTGGTGCCCCACAGCGACCCTAGGCAACCGAGTGTCCTGGTTGGAGAAGCGGAATTGATTGGCCCTTGTTTGTCTTCAACGTTTTTTTTTTTTTTCTTCACTGGTCCTTTCCTTGCTTCCTTTGTATTCTTATTGCTTTGTGTTCTTGCCGCAGCCGTCTGTTCATGGTGTTTTTTTTGGTTTGTCCTCTGCATTTTGTTGGTTTCATTTCTCGCTGGTTTGGTGACTTAATATTTGCTTCACAAATGCGATCTAGAAAATTGGAGAGCTCTGTGACAATATATGAATTTGTGTTTGTGTGTGTGTGCGCGCTCACGCGTACACTATTTTACCACTTGTTTCTTGCCTTTCATCTCCCACTGTCTGTGTTTTTCAACATCTCTCTTCTTTTCCTCAACGAGAGAGAAACCTCGTGAGGGGGTGACTTTCCAAACCCATCCCCCTTTGTCCCCCTTGTCCTTCTTTTTCCTCGCAAATGCGATCCAGAAAATTGGCGAGTTCTGTGACAATTGCAATCAGACTCGCTTTCTTATCCACTTCGCATACATACAAACAGATGGCGATTCACACTGGCGCAGCGCGCCCACTCAAAGCTCAGAGATATGGAAAACGAGAGCACAGTTCAGATGTGAAAACACTTCAACAAGCTATGGCGCCTCAGCGCCTGCACACACCACTCTCGTCACTGTGTCCAACACCACCGTTTGCACATACTCAACTCTGGATCACCCTGACCCTGAATACTCACACGCTTCCCTCTCTTACACACACACACACACACCAAAGCCTCTCTTCCTCCTACGGCGGCTATGGCCGCTCTACTACTATTATCTATGTTGTCTCTCTTCAGCCCACTTCGACTTCGGGCGACCTGCAGACCACCTCGCACAAGACGCTATAGCAGCGCTTCCTCATGGCTTACGCAGCGAATCCATAATGGCTGGGCGCTGCCTCTTGATTTATACTTCTGTAAGTTGTTGGTCTGCCCCTTTTCCACCGGCCATGGTGTACACAGTGCCTCATGGTACTTGCTGACTGTGCGAAGTGAGACTGGGACTGGGTACCACTGACTCATCGAAGTTGGACTCCACCACTTGCCCACTTGCCTTTGCCTAAACGCGAGACACTTTGGAAAGGCCACTTCCGGACCCGGAAGTCTATGGACTTGGCCTGTAGCAGCTACGACCTTGACCTTTCAGGACTGTAGCAGCTACGACCTTGACCTCTCAGAACACCTACAGCGACGACCTCTACAGAGCTGTGACCCCTACTCGACAGACCTACAGATCGAACCGCTACAACTACACAGACCTACGACAGACAACAACCAACTACCAAAACACAGGTCACGTGTTCAAACACTCGGGGGTCAACTCGATACTGTACATGGGCAGCGAAAGGTCTGGGAATCGAACTCTAGGGCCCGCATCTGTGACTGCACAAGGGTGAAAACCGTTTCACAATATATGAATTCGTGTGTGTGTGTGTGTAGGCTGTCTCCCCACGTCTTGTCTGTCATCTCCTCATGTCTGGTAAGTTTCCACATCTGTTTCTTCCCCCCAATGAGAGAGAAAGATCGTTGGGGGAAAGGGGGTTGAGATTTGAACCCGACCCCCTTCTGTCCTTGTCCTTCATTTTCTGTGTGTGTGTGTGTGTGGTGTGTGTGTGTGTGTGTGTGTGTGTGTGTGAGAGAGAGAGAGAGAGAGAGAGAGAGAGAGAGAGAGAGAGAGAGAAGGCCGTGTGGAAAGGGGGTTGAGACTCGAACCCCACCCCCTTCTGTCCTTGTCCTTCATTT